TGTTTGAGACCAGCCTGGGCAACATGGTGAAACCCTGTCTTTACAAAAAAGTAGCCAGGCGTGGTAGTACGCACCTGTGGTCCCAGCTACTTGAGAGGCTGAAACAGACGGATCGCTTGAGCCCGGGAGGCAGAGGTTGCAGTGAGCCGAGTCACGCCACTGCACTCCAGCCTGGGTAATAGAGCGAGACTCTGTCTCACACACACAAAAAAAACCCCAAAACCAACTTTAACAAACCACATATGTCTGGGCCCCAACCCAAACCGCCTAGAAGGATGGTGAAGCGCTGAGTCTTAGGGGTGGCAGATGCTGGGTTCCTATGTATCTTGTCTCACCTAATCCTCACTGCAAGTCTGGAAGGAAAGTCTACCATTACTCCTTTTAATGAGGACACTGAGGCCTGGCAATGTTAAAGACTCCCCCCACCTCCACGTCACCCAGTCTCCTGAAGGTGCAGCAGAGTTGTATAAACCCAGGCAGTCTGAACCCAGAGCCCATGCTCCTGACCTACTGCAGTGTATTCTAGCCAGTCAGAATCTCTTGGGTGGGGTCCAGGCACAGGGATTCTAGTCTAGTCAATGCCCAGAGTTAAAGTTGAGCCTTTTGCTTCTATTTTCTTCAGAGACAGGGTCTCACTGTGTCACTCAGGCTGGAGTGCAGTGGTGTAATCAGCTCACTGCAGCCTCAAACACCTGGGCTCAAGTGATCCTCCCACCTCACCTGCCTGATTAGCTAGGACTACAGGCACATGCCACCACAACCAAGTAATTTATTTTTTGTAGGGACAGGGTCTCACTGTGTTGCCCAGGCTGATCTCAAACTCCTGGGCTCAAGTGATCTTCCTGTCTTGGCCTCCCAAGGGACGGGGATTACAGGCGCAAGCCACCACAACCGGCATGAACCTTCTTGCCACACTGATCACCAGGCCAGGGACTGCTGTGGCATTCTGAGCTTCCAGGTGGGTCACTAACCACAATGACGAAGGCCCTCTGGAACCTGACGCTCAACCTCCATTGCCAGTTTCATCTTTGGCTCACAGCCCTGCACCCAACAACTGGTCACTGTTCCTGCACATTCCTGTCTCTGGGCCTTTCTGCATAGGTCATCAACACCTCAGAGGATCCATTTCCTGAGGGCTAACGCTGTACCAAGGTCCTTATGTGCAGTTAACCCTAGTGATCTTCATTGGAGAGATGGGGAAACTGAAGCTCAGAGGGCTGCTGAAAGTTACCAACCAATGAAAGAATAGAGCCAGACGGGGATCTAGGCCATTCTAGAACCTTAGGTCCCACTGCTGGCTGCATCCCTTCATCTGAAATCCTCCTCTCCAAGGCCCGGCTCAAAGGTCACTTCCTCCCTTCCTGTGTGTTCCTGCATGACTCTGTTGTGTAGCACAGAATTCCTCATCTGCCTTCCTGGCTGAAATTTACTGACTGGTCACCGTGCTAGGTAGGAAAAAATGCTCCAGGGAGAAAGGCAGACCCCTATGTAGAGAACGACACACCGCCCCTACTTAGCTCTGCCAAGTGCTACTTAGGTCTCATGAGGGCTGTAGGAGGTGGGGGAGGCAACAGCCTCTAGAGTACTGATGCAGGAGCTAAGACTTAAAGGATGAGGTGACACCAGCCAGGTGAGAAATAAGGGTGGTGTGGCCCAGGCAGAGGGGATGGCACAGACTAGGCCATAGGAGAGTACACCCACACTGCTGCGGGCTGTCGGAGATGACTCCCTGTGCAAAGGCACCAGGTAAGGCTCAGAATCTTGCAGGGAGACCGTGAGAGCCAAGTGAGAGGCAAAGATGTCTGAATCCTTGAAGATGCAGAGATGGGGGCGGGGGCGTGGAATTCATGGAACATTCACAGAACATTTGGTAGGAAGACCCTTAGTACTTGATGTCTGAGAAGGAATGAGGCACGAGGGAGAAGGAGGACAGGCAACTCCAGGTTTCTGGCTTGGGGGGCCTGGATGAATGATGGGCTCACTAGATGCAAGGGGTGGTTTGGGGGAAAAAGACTGGGTTTGGTGTGGGGTCCATTGAGGGAAATCCTGGAGGGTATCTGGTGACCTTGTCAAGGAAGAACCTTGCCAGGAGGCAGTGGTGGGTTTTACTCCTCTCTAGATCCCTGGCTCTTAGCATATGGTAGCCAGAGAAAAATGCTCAAATCATCAAGAATTCAGGAAATTGGCTGAGCACGGTGGTTCACGCCTGTAATCCCAGCACTTTGGGAGGCCGAGGTGGGCGGATCACCTAAGGTTGGGAATTCGCAACCAGCCTGACCAACATGGAGAAACCCCGTCTCTACGAAAAATACAAAATTAGCCAGGCATAGTGGCGCATGCCTGTAATCCCAGCTACTCGGGAGGCTGAGGCAGGAGAATAACTTGAACCCGGGAGGTGGAGGTTGCAGTGAGCTGAGATCGCACCATTGCACTCCAGCCTGAGCAATAAGAGCAAAACTCTTAAAAACAAACAAACAAACACACACACACACCAAAAAACAATTCAGGAAGCTTTCTTTGATCCTTTCAAAATAGTCACAGTCCTAACTTTTCTTTACTGAGGCTTACTTTGTGCCAGAGGTGTGGCAGCCAGAGCTCTCCTTGACCTTTTGACAGCGGTGAGAATAGTTTCAGAATCCCGGGCCCAGAGACTTCTCTGAGAGTGGGCACCCAAGAGTCTGCCTAGTCCTCTAAGGGACTCACTCGCTCTGGGAGAAGGGGCTTGGGGCTCCCTAGGAGGTGAGGTCAATCTCCAGACCCCCTCTGGTTTCTATGGTCTTTTCTGCTGCCAAGAACTCGCCTTACCTCCAGGAGGCCAGAGAAGGGCAGGAGCCCTCACCAAAGAGAAATGCAGGCACTAGTCTGGAAAAACGGACTGACAGGAACTCAGGTCTGGCCTCTTCGGGTTTAGGCAGGCAATTCCCTCTTTATTCAGGGTGTTCTCTCAGCTGCCCTCCTATTCTAAATCTTGTTATTCTGAATCCCCTATTTCTTCTCTTGCTTGAGCCATCAGACAATGTTGGCTAAAAATGACCTAAGTTCAAATCCCTCATTTTACAGATGGGGCGGCGGAGGCTCTGCTGTGAGCCTGTGGGTAACAGCCTGGGATTCCTCCCCTGGACCTGTGCTCCTCCTCCTACGTCTTGCTGCTGCTCAGCTTCTGGCCCAAAATCCCCACCAGGGCCTGCCTACCTCCTCCTGAGGAGCCCAGGAAGAAGCTTCTCAGCTTCCCACCAAACATCAGAGAAGGTTTAGGACACTCACACAGAAGGCTCCTTTCTTCCACCGATGGCCCTTTAGAGTGCGGTACAGACGGCCAGCAGAAAATCCGCCAAACACCCTGTGGGAAAATGGCAGCGATCCACACCAAGGGGACCCATTAGCTGGCATGGAAGAGGCCTGTGCCGCCCCCGGGCGCCCGCTCAGACACACCTACCCCATGAACATGAAGAGGAAGCAGGCTGTGGTCATGAGAGCTCCCCGGCTGGAGGGTGACAGCATCCCAAGCATGGCCACAACTGTGGAGGGAGGGAGGGAGGGAGGGAGGGAGGGCAGAGAAAGGCAGGGTGGCTGATCACCAGGCCCCCAGCCCCAGCCCCAGCCCCAGGCCCATCTTGGACAGGCTGACAGGAGTCGTCTGGGCAGATGAGGCTCCCCCTTCCTTGTCTTCTCAACAGCCGAGTCCCCTGCCCTCTACAGGGGAAGACTGGGTCTTAGCTGGAGTTCAGAGGGGTGCAGCAGCTGCTGGGCCTTGACTGGCCAAATCTCAACTGCAGCTTCCAGTCCACAGAGCACTTGCAGTTAGTCAGGTGCTGGGCTGAGGGCACCACAAATGCCAGGTCTCTGAACCCACCTTACCAACTCTGCAGGGTGATTACTTTCCCCATTTCTCAGGTAAGGAAACTGAGGCTCACAGAGGTCAAGTGGCCTGTCCGAGGTCACAAAGCTTGGAGGCATGAGACTGAGATGTAAATCCAGACAGACTCTAAAGCTGTCTAAAATTACTATATATTAGTGGGGTTTTTGTTAAATAAAAAAAATACTTGATTTCAATCCTAATCCTGGTACTGACTTTGGGCAGGTCACAGCCTCTGACTACAAAAGGAGGCCAAGCTCATAGCAGTGATGTGTGGCCTCATTGACGGAGGGGACATGGTGGGCTCTGTAAACGGCTGTGAGGTGAATCACCACTCCTGGGCTGGGGCTGGGGCTGCTGCTGACATAGACCGCCCGTCTGGCCCAGAGATACTGACATGCCCACTTGGCGCCAGGAGCTTGGTTCCCTTTCTGCAGGGAGAGAAGCCCACCCTTCTCTCCTTGAGACACCTGGAGGAGGGAGCCATGCCCCATGCCGGGCCCCGCTGGGCACACTCACAGATGACAATGAGGATCATACAGAAGAGCTGAATGCCTGAGCCCAGCAGGGAGCTGAGGATCATGGGGTACTGGGGGGGCCTGAAGACATCGCCGTGCACCAGCTTCCACCCAGACTCCTCCATGGTGTCTTCCTGCAGAGAAGAGCTAGAGTGAGGCTAGTTGTTGAGGATGGAGGCAGCTCCTGCAGGGACCACCCCCAAGGTGACAGCTGACACCCTCAGGTGTCAACCAGTGCTGCTCTGACACACGAGTGTAAGTGATAAGAGAAAGTGCTTATCTGAAACTGTCACAAGAAAAGGAGGCCACAAACCTGATGCCTGGAGCTGCGTAAAAGGAAAATCTCTTTAAATTCCACAAACCTCATTTGTGGGAAAATAATGTAAATACCTCAACTCACTAAAATGTTAACTGTAATAGTTCTTGAGTGGTGAGATTTGGAATCAATTTATTTATTTTTTCTGATTATAAAATAAATACGTACTCTTACTTGTGTAATAAAAAAAGTAAAAATAATTTGGTATGTAGCATGGACTTCAAATGAACAAAAACTAACATGCTTATTATAGAAAAATTTAAACAGAAAGATAAAAAAATAAAATGACTGATACTCCCACTTAATAACACTGTTTTGATATAATTCCCTTAATCTTTTATATATAATGTGTATATGTATGTTTTAAACAATAACATTGGGATCACACTATGTACTTTGTTATTTTCAGTTGGTATGTGTGAACATTTCCTTAGGTCAATAAAAGCTCTTTGACATTGTATTTCAAAGCTGTAATATTTCTACACCAAGTCTTGGTGTTTTGAATCTTGCCTTAGAAAAATTATGGAAGAATTGCCGTGCAAAGCAAGTTGCCTGTTTTAGTTCTTTTTTGTTTTTGTTGAGGCGCGGTCTCCCTGTGCTGCCCTGGCTGGTCTTGAACTCCTGGGCTCAAGTGATCCTCCTGCCTTGGCCTCCCAAAGTGCTGGGATTACAGGCATGAGCCACTATGCTCAGCCTGTTTTATAGTTCTTGATATCCACTGCCAATCACTTTTCAGAAAGCTACCAACTTACACTTCCATGGGTGGTATGGAAAGGTGCTTGGCTCACGTTAACCTTGCCAATAATTAGTACTATTAAAAAAAGAAAAAAAATCTTGTGCTAATATGATGGTCCAAAACAGTCTTCTCAAGATTGTTTGAATCTGCATTTTGTGGGGTTATTCCTGAGGTAAAAACAGTTTTCTCTTGCTTAGTGGGCATATTGTAGTGTCTTGCCTGTAAATTTCCTGTTCATCATTACATTCGAAATTTTAGATTTTTTGGTTTTATTTATTTATTTATGAGACAGAGTCTTGCTCTGTTGCCCAGGCTGTAGTACAGTGGTGTGATCTCGGCTCACTGCAACCACCAACTCCCAGGTTCAAGCGATCTCTGGCCTCGGTATCCTGAGTAGCTGGAAGTACAGGTGCCCACCACCATGCTCAGCTAATTTTTGTATTTTAGTAGAGACGAGTTTTCACCATGTTGGTCAGGTTGGTCTTGAACTCCTAACCTCAAGTTATCTACTGTCCCCGACCTAGTTTTGTTTTGTAGACAGAGTCTTACTTTGTTGCCCAGGCTGGAGTGCAGTGGCATGTTCTTGGCTCACTGCAACCTCCGCCTCCCGGGTTCAAGTGATTCTCCTGCCTCTGCCTCCTGAGTAGCTGGGATTGCAGGTGCATGCCACCACACCCAGCTAATTTTTGTATTTTTATTAGAGATGAGGTTTTCCCATGTTGGCCAGGCTGGTCTTGAACTCCTGACCTCAGGTGATCCACCTGCCTTGGCCTCCCAAAGTGCTGGGATCACAGGTGTGAGCCACCATCCCGGCCCTGACCTAGTTTTTTTGAAACAAAGAGATTTTATATGAATTCTTTAAACTGTGCCACTTTTTTCAAGTTTGTTGCAGATATTGTTTTGCCATTGTGGCCTTCTGTTTTGTTTATGTATTTGGCATGCAGAATAGTTTTACAATTTTCAATGTCAAATGAATCAACTATTCTTTGTGATTTCTTCCACTGTTTTTATGCTTTAAAATTAGGCTGTCCCTATCACTTTGGGTGAATACAACATTTTTCCTTACTTTTTTAGTATTAAAAGTATACTAGGAGGCCGGGCGCGGTGGCTCAAGCCTGTAATCCCAGCACTTTGGGAGGCCGAGACGGGTGGATCACGAGGTTAGGAGATCGAGACCATCCTGGCTAACACGGTGAAACCCCGTCTCTACT